CCCCCTGGAGGGGGAGGGGGGTGTAATTCTTAAAATTATACACTCCTGTTCTATTTAGATACTGGACAAGTACAAGAGAGCTCCAGATATAATCGTAAACTCAGCAGGAATTACAAAGGATGGATTTCTACTACGGATGAAAGAACAAGACTTTGACCAGGTTAAAAAAGTGTTAATGTTCTGAGGTTGAATTTTAAGACCTCGTACCTCCTCCAGCTTTGATTCCCCTTCCTCTTCCCTTCCCCTTGTGTCTTTGATATTTTTTTAATTTTATACACTCCTAGATTTCAATCTTCTGTGCAATTTTCTTCATTAGGGATATGCACATTAGTAATATTATAATTCCGTTCGTTAAACTAATAGAAAAACGTTCAGCTCAGTTAAAGGCCGACAGTAAACATAATTTCAAGTGACCCACCATGAAAAGATGGCAATGCCAGATTTACAACAGTACCTTTAAAACCTTTATCTGATAAAGTTTGAATTAGATATAAATGTTTTTTTTCTTTCAACTGTTTATTTGCATTTGCGGTTTCTCTGCGAAAAGTGACTTGCGTATTTTATGTTTATAAGAAGCAATGGTGAGGCTCACTAAAAAAACACTATTCGAGCATAAAAAACGACAATATCTTCTACATTTGATCAGATTAAGGTTTCCAGGGTATAGTTGTGAATCGGGCATTTCCATCTTTGCATGGAGGGTCACTTGAAATCACGCTTACAGTCTCTTTAATGCGTTGAAAATGAACTGATCTGACGTTTGTTCTAATTCAGGGTTGAATATAATATTTTAGTTGATATGGAAGGGAAAAAATACCTAAATATTCATTTTACCCCAAATCAGCGAATAAAATAAATTCTGAAAGAAAAAATTATCCTCAAAGGGGGGGGGAAGAAAAATAACTTTTTAAGAAAATATACACCCCTGTTCTAATCTGAAAGGAACCCGTACCTGTAAGTGTGTATAGTGTATCGTATATAGCTCCGGGATTAAGCATTATTAAAACTTCGTATTTAATCTCTTTTAACTAAATGATTTTTAATAAAAGAAACCATATATTCAAAACTCAATGATAAACATTAATCAAATTATTATTAAAACCAAAACCAGGGGGGAAAAAACGTTTTTCCTCCAACAGAACCAGATAGAATGCGACATATTGGTACAACTTTGTGACCTTGTAACTTCTGTAGTTTTGATTTAACGCGAGAAAAGGAAACTTATTTGTGTACACAAAAAGGAATTTAAAACATTTTTGTTTTAAATAGCTCTTTAAAAAGATAAGTTGTGATTGAAAACATTTAAAATGTCAATCAAACATGAAATTTACCTCAGTTTGATGGGAAAGGGGGGAAACAACTAGTTTAAATTCTGGAGTTTTCATGCAGAGGTTCCTGTAAAAAACCTTTTACATTTTTTTATGCCAGACCCTTTATTCCTATTCCCAGATGCTAAGTCTCCAATTTGTCATTTTTATTGTTCCCTTTCACAGCAAACATTTTTTCTTTAAAAATTGGGAACATTTTCAATTTAAGAAATAGCAGATTTATCTATTTTCACAGAGTTTTTAAAATGCAGAAGTTTTAATAATGAACGTGATATGATACTTTAAACTCAAAAATTCATTTATTATCCGTAAAAATCATTTTTTTCGCCAATTAAGCAAACATTCCCAAACATCCTTAACATCTGGGGGGAAAAATGGTTTTAAAATGGGGAGGGGGGGTGAATCGAACAATAGAGGGTCTCTTGAGATTATGTTAACAGTCCCTTTACAGGTAATTGATGTGAACCTGAAGGGAACCTTCCTAGTTACTCAGACCGGAGCTGGACTTATGAAGGATCAGGGGATTCAAGGCTCTATAGTTAACATTGCCAGTATCGTTGGTAGGTTACACTACAGGGTTACCCACAAAACATGAGACTCTAAAGACGACCTGCTATTGAAGTATGACAGTTATCATTTTTTATACATATTATATATTTTTGATTTATGTAATGATTGGACAAAGAAAGTAACAAGTTAAAAAAGGTGCAAGAAATCATGAATATTTAGAAACATGCAGTGCAGATTCCGTACAGTCGTCTCTTAAGTCTCATCCTAGATGGCTAACCATGTATCATATTTGGTCATTGTTGTTTTTGTTTTTAAAAAGTCAAGGTTTCTTTTCTAACATTCAGAATTTTTAGGCTTTCAGAAGACTTAACAACAATCTGAAAGGTTTTACATATATCAAAATTGTATAATTGAAACATTATCTTTTTTAACACTACTGCTTACTTCGCGTCCAATTTCTATTTCAATTGTGAACGTTTTCTCTTTTTATACATTGTAAAAAAAATTCGTGGATTTTATAAAAACAAATTGGGGATTTTCAAAATTTAATGACAATCAAATTTTGTTGGAGGCTAATCTATACATAAATTTTTGTGGGACATCTAGGGACCCCAGGGAAGGTTTATGAATGATCAAAATTTCAAATATTTGTCTCCATCAAAATTCGATCTTCATTGAACTTTTAAAAATCCACGAATTTTTTTGTGAAAATCCGCGAATTATTTTTGTATTGTTTTACGATATACACAAAGAGAACATGTTTACAATTAATTTAGAAGATGAGGCTAGTTTTTTAAATTTTGATTCGTAGACCTTCCCTGAGGTCACTCGAGGTCCCCCACAAAAATGTGGGCCGTTTCGACTTTTATCACATACAAACAAACAGACAGACAGAGCAACGTAAATATATAATGCAAAATCTTGACTTTAAAAAAGATAAAATTTTAATTCATTCGTAAACATTTTTTGTTTTCATCTTCTATCTTTCAGAGTTAAAATATTGCAGAAAATTATCTTCATAAAATAACATTTTAATTTACGCAAGACTTGGTATTGTTTTTAAGCCTCCTGAAGGAAATAATTTCCTCGAATATTTAAAAAAACGGAAATTAACGATGTCAAACTCTATTTATAGGAGACTCCAAAAGTATCCAAGAATATGTTTACCATGTCTTCTAATAGTATAAATCAAACGTTTTTGCTTCTATTACTCTGGCAATAAGACCAATAAATAAAAGATAAATTATTTTTCAAAATAATTTTTTTTTGTTAAAAGGGATTATTTTGTACAAATGGGAAATAAAATTATTAAAATTTTAAAATTTTGACTTAAAATCTCAGATTCTAAAGATGCCTCTAAAAATGAATGGGACTGTGAGCGTAATTTCAAGTTATACTCCATGCAAAGATGACAATGCCCGATTTGCAACGAAATGGATATCAATGTTTTTGATTCCTTAAACTGAGCTGAAAACTTTAGAATGTTATATCCTTAATCCCCTTTCGGTTAATTAATCTGGAGATTGATAACAAGAGGAGAACAAGCATCATTTAATCTGGAGATTAAGAAAAATAGATAATCAAGTATTAATCTCAAAATCCACCATTCTAAAGTTTTCAGCTCTGTTTATTTTCATTTGGATACGGTTTCTCTGCGAAAGTGAATTGCGCATTTCTTGTTTATAAGAAACAATTGTGAAACTCACAGATATAAACGCTCTTGAGTCAGGAACACCATGTTACACAGTTTTGTTCAGATTAAGGTTTATAGGGTACCGTTGTAAATCGGACATTGTCATATTTGCATGGAGGGTCACTTGAAATTTCGCTTACAGTCCCTGTAAAATAACCTAGACATAAATATTTCCATCTCTCTTTGTTCTCCTCGAATCTATCATTTATAAAACCTTGTAGAAACCTTCCAAATCAAATCATATTTTTGTCATGAAGAACTTGGTTTTCCTCCACAATAAAATAAACGTATTTAATCAAAAATCACAAAATTATGATTATTCATTTTTCTCCAACCTTTCCAGCTTTTCCTTACTTCTATATTTTATGCATTCTATATTTCCTTCATTTCTTCATTGTAATTTTATTTAAACTTTCAGTGGAAACTTTAGAAAACATCTAATTGATTTAGCTTCGAAAATAAAAAGAAAAGGTTAATTTTCAAGTTCGGATCCTGTTTCCAAAACCTTTTTCATTCATTTTTTATTTTCAGGAAAAACAGGAAATATCGGCCAAGCTAACTATACTGCATCTAAGGTGAATGGGGCGGAAACGTCATGTGTGTGTGTCTGTACCAAAAGAGTGTGTGTAAGGAATACCGAACCGAAGGCATATACACTACATAAGAATCTCGGTATTTGTACAGTCTATTGTTTACTTAAAAATAAGTTTATTTACATTATTACCACTATAAGCCAAATTTTCATGCAAAGAATATCATTTTATTAAAGTTTGCTATAAACTACTCGTTATTCCAGCTTAATTATAATTGACAACATTGTTCTGCAATTTTCTTGACTGTAGTCATGTTGTGTGTCTGTACCAAAAGAGTGTGCATGTGTAATACCGAACTCGTCTGCAAAGCAGTGCGACTGGTTTTTTTTATGCCAGACCCTTTATTCCTATTCCCAGATGCTAAGTCTCCAATTTGTCATTTTTATTGTTCCCTTTCACAGCAAACATTTTTTCTTTTAAAATTGGGAACATTTTCAATTTAAGATATAGCAGATTTATCTATTTTCACAGAGTTTTTAAAATGCAGAAGTTTTAATAATGAAAAATAAGTTTTCTATTTTTATTTGTGGATTTTATCCTTATTCCTACTGACGTCTGGTTTACACAAAATGACTGATTGTGATAGAAATCTATAACATATGATACATGGTAGGAAAGCCCTTGGGTTTCACTTTAATAATTTGCAAAAAGTTTGCAAATTTGCAAAAATTTTAATATTTATTGCAAAATCAAACTTTTTAGCCAAAAATATGCAAAAACGAAAAATGCGCCAACTATGACAAATTATATATTGGTGAATATCCATTGACCCAGCAAATTCAAATCTGCAAAAATATTTGCAAAACTTTTAAACCTAAAGTTGTATTTAAGAAAAACAAAAATTCCGCTTTAATCTACGCAAAATTTCTTTGTAGAAATTGTGCAATCTGCTTCCCTGTGTTGTAGGGTTTCCAAAGAGCTATAAAATGTTGAAGTAGATCTAAATTGGGGTAAAGGAAAAATAAGGCATTTAGGCAGTATGCCTGACGACTCGGCAGTAGGCATTAAAGCCTATCTTTTAGCCTAATGTTAAAAAAGTCAAAAATTAATTTAGCAGCTTCTAAAAAAAGACACACCAATCCACACTACTGTAAATGAACCGTCAGGTTTCAAGTCAAAACACAAGTTTTTCTTTGGAATATATTTATATGCAGTCTCCTGAGTTATAATCTTAAGTTTCAGAAAATGCCACCAAGGGAATTTTGAGGAAATCCGTTTTTATTAAATTGTAGAAATCAAGTGCATTTTCAGTTTTTTAGACTATTTTTGAACCGTAAATAGGAGTTTTTTTAAGCAAAATCATTAAAAACCCTATAAAAAACTTTTTCATGCTGTATTTAAACAGTTAGGCAGTTGACTGAGGGCTTTGATTTTTTGCTACAATATGTTTTTTTGGCTGTTTAAGAAAAGTTACAAAATTTGGGAACCCTGCCAATCACATGGTTAATAACATATCTTTAAAAAAGACTTGGAACTTAACTTGATTTCTTAAAAATAGACATACTCAAAACCCCATAGAAGGGATTTTCGTTTTAAGCAGTGTGCTCAGTCAGATATAGCCTGACATTTTCTAAATTTAATTTTTGTTTACATTTTTATAGGCTGGAGTTATTGGGTTTACAAAGACTGCTGCTAAGGAACTGGGGAAATTTGGAATCAGGAACAATGCATATTTTATTCATATTTTTCTGAAATCTATGTGACTGAGATTTAAAAAATATCCCCAAAAATTGGAAACAGATAAAAATATGCGGAAATGGATCTAAAAAGGATTTCTAAAATTTGTATCCTAAAACCAGAAACGGATATAAGCGTCTTAATATGTAAGTTTTAGATCAATGCCTCAAAATTTGAGACACTGATTATTGTATATTGACTTGATTTTTTTACTTTTCATACTTTTTAAATCTTTTATTTGTTCTTTCATTCATTCTTTGTTATTTTTTTATATTGTAGGATTTAATCAGATTTTTTTTTCTTTTTTAATGAAAATTTAGTATATTAATTATGCACTTAATATAATTTTTACTGTAGGTTTGATTTTTTCATTTTATAGTTTTTCCTTGTATTCCATGTCTTATTATCTATTTTTTAAATAATGTTTTCCTTAAGATGCTAGATGTTTTTGTGCTGAAGGAGTTTTAAGGGAAAATAATACTAATGGATTAAAAATGGGACCCTCTCCTCCTTGGGGTTGATCCCAGGACCCCGAAAACCCCCAGTGGGAAACAGCATCATAACATTTATTTATTTTTTCACTGGTTCAGAAATCAGAATTCTGGTAATCTCTGATTCATTTTTAATTCCTTCTGATATTTCTGGTTTGTTGCAAGGAAGTTTAGCTATTATGTTTCTAAATTCAATATCTCAGCTGCTGAAACTGAACCCATAAACAATCATGAAATAATAACACCTTTTGAGGTCTAATTTTTACATTTCCTTCCCTGGAGCAATGAAATCAATCCCCCATCTCTCAGGGGTAATTTTTGAGAATATATACCCCTGGCGAGGGGGGGGGGGCC